ACTAGGTTTTCCTTTTTCACCTCGCCATCTAGGGTTTCTTCATCCTTTTCAAGATTCTAATAAGTCCTCACCATCTGTAAGAGAAAGGATCCAATTTCCTGAGCTTCTTCCAAAGACTTCATAAAAAGCTGGATGACCTCCACGATCTCAATTTTCATCATTGATCTATCCAACTATGGGATCAAAGAGGGGTGATTTAAACTGAAATTGGAGGTCATACCTGCAATCAAAGTTTCCTTAAGTAGCTTCGAGTCAAAGACCTTCTTCCTTATAAAAAATGTGTTAAGTAGGTATTCATCATGAGAAATATCTTTGTTTCTCCCTTGGCTGTGAAGCAAAGCTTCATCATTTCCATGGCTACAGAAAGAATCCTCATCCAAGGAGTCAAATCCATATGATTCATATCTAACTTTTGTCTTAAACAACTAAACATCGATCAAAGCAGGGTTGGATGCACCTTGTGCGTCAAATCTATGAACCTCCCGTGATTCGAACATTGTTTGTGTATTTCAAACATTGGTTCCTCAATTCTCCTTTTCAGATCATTGAATTCCTCCCAAGCATTGTTTTAAAAAGCGGACCGCCCAGCGCCTGGGCAGCCGCCTAGGCGGTCCAGAAGGCCTGGTTTAGGCGGCCAAACTAGACGGATATCCCTGGGCACCCGCCTAGGCGCCAAGGAACCTGCCTAGGCGCCTGTGCCTGCGCCCCGCCCAGGGACAGAAATGTTGCTCCTTGAGGGTTTTTTGGGTCATTATTTTTAATATTAAAATGGAAAAATTGTGGGTTTTAGGTTCATTTGAAACCTAAAACCCATTAGAGGCTATTTTAGAGAGAGAAAACCCAAAAAAAAAAAATTCTATTGGGCGACCGCCTAGGCGCTGGGCGGCTTGGCCCCCCCCATCGCCTAGGTGCCACCTAGCGCTTTTTGAAACACTGCTTCCAAGTATACTTTGTTTCCACTAGGCCATGTACTTGACCTCCTCTAGCGGCCATCATGCAAACTTGCAGCAGATCATCATGAACTTTGGTAACATGCTTGTTCTGATTCCAAATAATGCCATCGAGAATTTAAAGAATGAAATCAAAGAATTGAAAATAATGGTGGGTGCTTATAAGGCAAGCTTCTTATGTCTCTGGTTTAACTAGGACTCTCAAAACAAATGATATTCAACTCTGGAATAAAAACCCTAATATAATCCCTGTTTATAATAGCATACCTTACTTAGAACCTAAGAAAAATTCTAATTGAAAAAGAAGCCCTAATTAAAACAAAATTTGTAATGACACTTTTACCTTGATAAAATAACTAATTCCATAAGGACTTTGACTACTCTTCCAAACACCCCCTAATATTCTAAAAAAATTTAAAGAACTCCTAAAATCCTTAGAAAAATTGGAAAAACCATAAAAATAAACTTGAAAAATCCCAAACATACATCCCTAAAATTTAATATAAAATAAAAAACATGATGCATCCTATCCGGCATCAATAGATATTTGGAAGATCTTGGAGAAGAGATTTGAATCATCTAGAACATACATATGGATGGAAACTTATGCTCCATTGGACCTCCTGCATCAGTTTTGTGTTTTGGTTGTTATTTGTTATTGGTGGATTGTTAATCCTTGGATGAATACTGTACATTCAATTTTCTGGACCACTCATTCATTTTTCCTAATAACTCTTTTGCGTTTCTATTTAAGAATTAATGAAGCATAAGCATGTCTATGATATGTCGAGTAAATGTGAGATTCCTATTTGTTGGCCCTCAATTAAAATTTCAGTTATGGGTGGCCTGTATCAGTTCAGATGAGGGTCAATCATCACTGCATACATGACAGGACTTGGGCTCCTACCATTGAAAATGTGTGAGTGATCTTATTGCACCACTGTTTAAAACCTTTTTGAGTTGACTTAGACACACTCAAGTTACTCTGGTCTGGCAGGGTGCCAGGTCACATTGAAATTCCTTAGGAGCTGGCTGAGGCTTGCCGGTTCCTGAGTTACGATGTTATTCTTTCATAGATTTGTATGAGTCTTGTTGAGACCTGACCAAATCAGACTGGCTAACTCAGGCTCGGGCGCTGCCCTGCTCTATGTCTAAGTTCAAGTTTTTGGCTGCTGAGCTATTAGTTGAAGGAGCGAAACATTTTTAACTCAGACATTCACTTTTGGACTTTTTGGTCAGCCCAAATTTGTCCCAAAACGAACAAAGGAAAAGAAAAAAGGCTATCCTTCGCCCAAATTTGTAAAGCACACCATGAAGAGCAATGTACTACAAAATGTGAGGGATCCAATTAGATACTCTAGGGGCAACCCTTCTCAAATTTCTGAGCTATGGTTTCCTGCCTAGAAATAGTTCTTTAGCCATTCCTGTTTTGGTTTGGTAAGAGACAATGAGAATAGGGTTTTTGTAGTGGTAGCGAAATCCAGGATAATTCATTCCAAAATCGCCACTCTTGAAATTCTGTCTCAATTGAAAATGCTGTAAATGTTTTATTGCTGAGGCCCCTCAACTCACCTTGTTGACAGTTTCAAACCGAGAACTGTCCCCCGTGAAGTTGACTTAAGATCTCTCTGTCTGTGGGAACCAGATAATCATCATGCGATATCAACATCGTCCAGAAATACCCTAATAGATGAGTATTTTTTTTAAGTATGGTTAGAAATAAATGTAAACTACGAACTGAAAGACCCTTGAGCATGTTTGATGCCTGGACCTATCCTCTAAGTTGAAGAAGTATGGGTCAAAATAAATTTAAAACATAAACAATACTCCATAAGAAAATTTAAGCGACAAATAGTAATTCCTTTTGCATATTTTTAATTGACTGGAACTACCTTCTAGGTTCAACCTAATGTCGAATGGACCAACCATGTGTTATCCTCCCTTAAAAAAATAAAAAAGTGGTCAAGCCAAGGAGGTTTTATTCGTGTTATACACACACACACACATACGTACACGTACATGGACATATATATATACAGACACATGCACATACACACACCAGGATTATCTAGGAAAGTTTCATGATTGGATTGGAATGTCCAAAAGTACCCAGAGAGGACATGAGCAAGCCTCGGGAAAGCACTATAAGTGTAAGATACCAGTACCCTCATAATTATCAAATCATGTAGATCTCTCTAAGGTGCTACTTCCACAATCAATGACTTGTCTTTTTTTTGTTGGATATTGACATATGACATATTAAACTGTCAGTGCTAGCTGCATGCTAATAGTTATAAGTAAAGGGCATTCCACTAAAACGATGCATGCATATTGCTCACTGATGATTCAGTGCACCAACCATATGGAAGGACATGGCTATGCATGCAATGACTAGCACCTGGGTTATCTGTGCTGGTACTGAATCATCAGTGAGCAATATGTATGCATCGTTTTAGTGGAATGCCTTTTACTTATAATTATAACCATGCAGCTAGCACTGATAGTTTAATATGTCATATGTCAAGTCTGAGAGTAAAGCCAAATTTGGGTGTTCAGGGTTGAATTGATTTTCCATTGGTCATTGTAGATCACTTGTATGTTGGCTAGTGGCAAGCTTGTCCATATTCGAGTGGCTATAAATGGATGGCGCTTTCCACTTGCTACCAATACCCCATCCTATCTTCTATTGGTTCCCCTACATGTGCAAACAACTTAATGTTCAGTTTGTGGTGTGACTCACCTATTTATTTCCCTAATATTTGCTCTATCATCGTTGTCTTGGGGTATGCTTGCTCGTGGTGATTGTGTCTCAATGTTACATGTGAACGCTTCTCTATCTTCTGCTGTCCCCCACTGGCTCTTTCAGTTGATTGATCCCATCTAAATCATCCCTTGTGATTAAAATATCATCTAGAATTACCATCAGAACAACAATCCTAACATCTAAATCATCCCTTGTGATCTACAATTGCTGTCATCTACAATTACCACCAGATCAATACCATAGTTAGCGATATATGTGACTCTGTCAATACCATAGTTAGCGATATATGTGACAGCAAACTATCAGCAAACATGAAAAATGTTACCGACTTAGTTTTGGTGCCACAAAAAAGGAAAAGAAAAAAAGAAGAAGAAAAACCAAGTAAAAAATGGCCAAAACAATTTATGCTACTTACTACCATGAAATCACTGAGGAAAAGAACGTGATTCAGTGGGGTTTGGCTAAAAAAAATGGAGCAAGAACAATGCGGATATATAACTTCGTGTAAAACAAATAAACATCTTAGTTTGCATTTGAATTAATTAAATAGGATCTGCTATCAGTATGTTGTTGCTACTCAATAATAGCTATACCCAGTATTAAGCCGCTACACAGAAAAAACAAGAAGGAAGATAAATTTAAGACAATTTGTAAGAGTGCTGTTTAAGTGCTTTCTCAAAAAATATAATATGGAAGTATTTTATTTTCTTCAAAAAAGTGAGTCTTTTGAAGTTCAAGCGTCTTAAAACTGTTTTTGAAAATTGAAGTCCTTTTGGAGAAACATGTGTTTTAAATGGAATAACAATAACTTTTTTTATCTTTTTTTTTTACTAATGGAGTAAGAATAACTATGGTAAAATACTATAGGAATTGTGTCTCCGAATCTCTCAAGCTGGTAAGCCTAATAATATTTTGCAACCATAATATCCTGAGTAATATAAATTTAAAGATGTAAACTTAATAAGAAATTTATGTTCATTATTTAAACCAAAAGTATGTTAGCTCTTATTGCCACAGTACACCTTTACTTTGCCTTCCTTTGCTCTTGAAAGCAGGGATTTGTGAAACCTTGATTAATAATCTTATTGTACCTTGCAATATAAATGTAGATTTCCAGATTAATTTTATGAATGGTTTTAGGGCAGAAGCTTATATATCACTGAAACTTATACATCATTAGCTTCCTAGACTGGTTGTAGACTTTTCGTGATGACATTTGCCTACTAATTGATATAGACAGAGTTTTGGTGTGGACTGTTATCTTTAAATCATGCAAATTCTTGCAGGACACATTGATCATTCTGCACGAGTTATGCGTGTGATAACGTGGAATAGGTCATTCAAAGGTCCACAAAACCCTGAAGATGGAAAGGAAGATCTAGAGGCGGATGAGTGGGAAACTCATGCAACGATATTGGACAAGTTGCTAGCATGGGAGAAAAAGCTATTTGATGAAGTAAAGGTATGCTAGAGTTGTTTATTAAATGCATTTATATATCCAAAACAGTTGATGACTCTAGCCTATGTTGAGGCTGTAGGATGGTCACCTTTTTCTCTACTATTTTTATGAAGTTTAATGTTGGATAATTTGGATAATTCCTGTGATTTTTATTTTGGAATATTAGTTATTTCTTTCTTTTGTGATACTGTGTGCAAATTGATTTCGTAAAAGAAATGCTTTCACAAGTTGGCAATGCTTCTTTTATGATTGCTTTCTATCTATTGGCTTTATTTCCTGCTTCAGTATGAATATTATTGTTTTGATGTTTGAATGTGTTGAAGCTGAATAATACTTTCTTGAATGATTTTAATGTAAGGATCCTACTTGAAGGGAATTTTTATTTTTTATTTTTAAAAAAGACATGTATTTTGTGAGAGGCAGGGGGAGGGGGAGGGGTAGTGGGGTGGAGGGGTAGTGGGGTGGAGAGGTTGCAGGTTGGGGACATACGGCTTTTAAGAGCTTTTCCGAATTAAGAAGAGGTGGTTTCCAAGGCTAATTGATGCTATCTTTTCCAGTTTGATATCTGGTAGTTCATTGGACAACAGAAGAGGAAGTTGGTGATATTTCTTACCAACACTAAAGAATGTGGGAGGTTGCAGTTCCGATGTTGGAGGTAGATGACATGTTACCCATGTAATGATGAGGGCCTGCTTGAATTATGCATAGTTGGTAACTTGAGTCGGTGACATTTGTAATCGTTAAAAGTTTAATATGAGGAAATATGTATAAATTGTATGTACAATATGATGCATATCTAATGGAGTAAAGTGAAACTTTTCTTTATGAGTAAGAAGGAACTAAAGTTCCGTTTTTTTTTTTTAAAACAAGTCCTATGCTGCATTAGGGGGATTACTGGATGAAATGAATAATGCTTGTATGCATGTGAACATTATATTTTTGGCTCTTCCTCAAGTTATATCTTTTGAGAATATCTGACGTTATATTAAAGCATATATATGATTACAACATCCCACGAAACATGGGTGTCCCCGGCCGACAGATCTGGTGCTCAGTACAAAATTGAATTTTGTTTTAGACAATTCAATGGGTTTGCCTGCACATTTAAATTTCTTTACTATACCTTCCTAAATTGCTTTAGGATGCCTGCAAAAGCCTGCACTGGTTTTGCCTTGCTTATTATCTTCAGTGGACATTTGTTCCTGTACAAATTGCTAGTTTGTTTTGATATGTTCTGTGCAATATGCAATCATGGGAAACTAGATTTTCAGATAGATGTGTGGCACACTCTACAGTGCAATATTATGGAATCAAACTTCTCTTTCATATGAAAGGAGATGGTGCCCGAGTAATTTCTGCTGCTTTGGCCATCTTCAATATATGCTAAGCTTCTACACTTGACTTTGACATCATGCTCATACTTGTTCCATGTTATGAATTCTTGTCCAAAAAATATATAGTTTTAAATAAGGAATCAGCTCATCATACAAACAAATTAGTATCATGACTAGAGGGATAGTGGCTGTTATTTACCAGTGATATAATTAGAATTCCATTAAATATGGCTAGATAGCTATACACATGTTCCCATTCTATGGTCAAGACTGATGACAATCCCTAGATCTAACCATTGGATACTGCCTGAACTGGGTGCCATTAAACTCTATTTTGATGGCTGCTCTTTCGGTCACCCGGGACCAGCTGGTGTTGGAGGTATCTTCAGAAATAGCTTCTGTAATGTTACTGCTCGACTCAGGCCTCCTGATCTGAATCACAAAGTCCTCAGTCAGCTGAGGCACAGGCTCTACTGGGTCACTGTTTGATAGATAGGGAACCTGACATCCAGTAGACGGGGATTCTAAGAATTTCATAAATTGGGCAAAGGATCATCCCCCTGCCCCTAGCTAGTGGAACCAGTTTTGGCCGTGTCTTCAATATTTGCCGTTCACTGCGTGTGTGATGAGAGGCTAATGCAGCTGCAGATGCCCTTTACAAAAGATGGTGTCTCTGGAAACAGTTTTGTGATTACTGCTCGTCAATCCTAATGAGGAAGTTTTGTATCCTTCCTGTACATGCCACATATACTCTGTCCACTATTTTGGCCATTCACCATTACATCTAGTCTGTACATTTTTTATGGGGCAATGATTTCATGCAACCGTTGCATAGTAATATGATGCAACAACCTTAAAAAACCATTTTATGGCCATTTGTTTGATCCAAAATTCGAAATATATGCTCTTTTCATTCTAATGAACAATCACAAAAAGAAGAAAAAATTGAAAACGCACCCTAGAAAGTATTTTTTTAGCCCAATTAACATAGGCCGTTTATTTTGGTGAGATGCTTAGAGCTAGGCTTTAGAAGGATTTTTTCATTTCCAATTTTTTTTGATGGCTTTATTATCATTAGATGAACAATGTTAAAAAAAGAAAAAATGATTTTGAATTTATAAAGGCTAAGATCTTGAAATTCACAAAATGAATGGTCTAGATTCGTTTTTGGAGGGGACCCATTTTGACCATATCTAGGGTTCAAATTGAACTTTTTTTGTTTTGGGGATTGATTATTGAGATGAAGAGAGTGTGTGCAAAATTTGAGGTCATACAAATGCCACAGCCATGGTTTTCTAGAAGTGTTGTTGCATTAAACTATGATACAACCGTTGCATTGGATCATTGCTCCTTTTTATATTTTAGTACGGAGTCAGTTTCTTCAAAACTTGATGGCTAGAAGTTTCTATTGCCGTATGTAACTTGTAAATTTTTTTTGAGGCAATGTAAACAGTTTGATCACCGTTTTGAAACTTTTGCCGAAAAATTCCTCAATGACCTGCTAATAGTGCCTTTAGAAAGGAAACTTGGAAAACTACCAAAAGTGACTTGCCTACTGGTTCCTTTTGTGTTATCAGAATCAGTTGTTCACATGGGAACCAGCTGGTTCAATCTGTATATTGAGTGCCTCTGTACCATGTTTTAAATGATGTTCAATTGGGTATTTTTTTGCATTTTTTTATTTTTTTTTGTTGACAGACTGGTTCCCTTACTGATTCTCATTACCTTCTATAATCCTGAAGGTTGGCCTGGTCTTTAGAGCTTGCAACATTTAGATTGGTGGCTTTGTTACCTACTATTGATTGCTTGACCAATAGATTTGTTGTGTACTTGTGTGCCTCAAATCTGCCCTTTCCTTTTGTGAACTTCTACCCAAAAAACTATTTCTCTTCAATTTGGAAGATGTAATGTTACATGAGCTCATACTCCCAAAATTTGTGGTCTTCTGTACTATTGTTTAAATCTTGTTTATTTGCCAAGTATAAGCCATGAGTTGTAATGTTTATCATGTGGTTACCACCCCAAGCCACACTTAATGGATTCTGTAATCATGGTGGACAGGCTGGTGAGCTTATGAAGAAAGAGTATCAGAGGAAGACAGCTTTGTTAAATAAGCAAAAGAGAAGAGGTGTCAGCTCTGAAGCCCTTGAGAAAACTAAAGCTGCGGTAAAATATCTGCATACAAGATACATAGTTGACATCCAAGCCATGGATTCCACTGCATCAGAGATATGCCGGCTACGTGATGAGCAACTTTACCCAAAACTTGTGGAACTTGTTGATGGGTATGTTTAGTGGGTGAAATAGAACTTATTTTACTCTGTCTATATCTTGGAATACAGTCGAATTTGTTTGATATGTGTATATACCTTGCAGCAAATTTACTTCACATATTTTATAGTTTTCTATGTTCATTATAGAAATCTGCATCACGATTTATCTTGATATGTTTACTCTTTCTTGGGCAATTGTTGAAATTGTCACTTTTCTCTGAATAGTAAAAGTTAAGGTTTGTTTTCCTCTGATATGACAATCTTGGTTTGATGTTAACCATGAGCAGCACTTAGAAAACCCTGCTCTATTGCATTCATTTCTTTCTCCTATAAATTCATTGCCTCGCTGTGGAAGTTCTCTTTCCATTGACATTCTGGAGGAGTTCTCCATGATGAGTTTGGCTGTGGTATGGAGCTTTGTTAATTCTAACTCATTATAAAATAAAGAAAAAAGTGGCTAGAAAACAGAAGTTGGGCTGGTGTTTGTAATGGAGTGAGTATGATCAATGTCTAAGACAGTCTCCATTTCTCATTTATCTTTCATAAAAACTGTGATGACTATTGTTTAATTTCTTATCAGTTGGTCAACAACTACGGTAAGATTTGGATGTTATCTGTTCTTTGCCCATTTGGGTTATGGCTAAAAATTTGACGATGGTTGTCTTCAGGATAATTATGGGATATAATTTTGGGCTATTTGTGTTTGTGTGGCACATGTCTGGGAAAAGGCTCCGATGATGTGTGGCACATGTGTCTGTATGTGTGTACAATGTATAGATTGATTAGGGTTTCTTTTAAATAGTTGAGTTTTTTATGCTGTATGTGTATTTCTAAAGCATTTGTATGGGAACAGGCTGGCAAAGATGTGGGAGGCCATGTACCAGAATCATGAGAACCAGCTGAAGATTGTGGCTGACCTGCGTTCCCTCGACATCTCCAACGCCCCAAAGGAGACAAGCAAGGAGCACCACAAGCAGACTGGCCAGCTCTGTCAGGCCGCCAAGGACTGGGACAGCCATTTTAAAAATCTTGTCACCCTCCAGAAAAAGTACATTGAGGCCCTCAACAGCTGGTAACCTCTCTCTCTCGCTCTCTTTCTCTCTCGCAAACACAATGCCCATAGGGCAGAGCATTTGTTTAATGGAACCCAAATCAAGATGACTCTCTCTCTTATATATATATATATATATATAGACACACACACACAGACAGTTGCATGACATTGGATTAGAACCGAGGCTCTAAACAATCAAAGGAAAGCGCGCCGTCAAATAGTGTTGAGAAATGTGATTTCAATACTGGAAATCTTTGTGATAGCCTTAAAAAATATTTTCATCTTTATATGTAAAATTTAAAGCTTAAAAAATAGTGTAGATCGAGCAGATCTATGAAAACATGAAAATCTCGACAATTGACGGTCCAAAAATGCATTATAAGATGCATTATTTCCAAAACTTGAAATCCAATGTTTTCTCTTGTCCATGCATCTTGATGTCGAGATGATCAACGTTGCTCATGTCCATGAAAACTTTTTTCTATATATATATATATATATATATATGTATATGGAAAATGCTGATATTAGACCACTAGCTCATATGAACATATGAGCTCAACGGCCCAAATTGAATTTAGACCAATTTGACGGTTACGACCTCATTTCGTGTTTGAATTTTAATTGTTTTTCTACGCATCCAAATAATTGGAAATTTAGGTGTCCATTTTTCTCATCAAGGCACACCTATTAAAAATATTTTAAAAATAATTCGCAAAAAATATATTAATCAAAATACCCCCCGAAACATTTCAGG